CATAATTAGAACGCTCTATGTTCTAAACTTAAGGAACTTTATCCCCTGTCTTATCTTTTGTGTTTTGAGTTTGTATACGTCCCTGAAAAGCTATAAATAAAAAAAATTGGGTCATCAAATAAATATTCTGGAATTATGATTTTTTATATTCTATTTCACTCATGTTTTCTACACTCCAGCATTATATCAATTTGCGCCACATTTAGCTATATTATTACTAATGGAGAACAAATCTGAGTGAACCGCTGAAAAAGTTGGTCCTGTTCTTTGTTATGAGCATTGGAGAAATTAGCCAATTCTTATTTGTGTTTCAAAAATATTTTAAATTAATTATAATTCTATGTATGTACTTCCTAGAGTATTACTATTTGTGAAATCTAATGCATTTTAAGGTAGTAAATATTGAGTATGAAGGGGTATGGTTGATAAAACTCTGACAGGTGTATTTTGAACAAGTCTTGAATACTGTGTAGACGAACGTGTACACTATTTAGCAGCTTTAGTACAAATACTAAATGCACAATGAAGTAATAAAACAGGATAATGTTAACTTTTCCAAGATGTTTTAGTTAAAACCAATATATTTATAACTAATTGTCTTATCTTAACATGTACTGTTTTAGTATCTTTACTACAAGTACTGAATGCACACTAGACTAACTTCAGCCACAGTTAGTTGCATTAATACATATCTCAAGGATAATAATATAGTCTAATTTAAATTTTGTTCTATTAAAACAAGCTTTACATGCATATCTTAAGAACGCAAAACAAAGCTTGTTTGACAAAAGTGAGTTATTTATGTTGCTATTTTTACGTCTCTGAGAAAGGGTTGTTAGTTTTTATCACTGTTACACCGAAGAAAGGTTAACTCATATTATCAAATCATGCTAAGACAGCTAAAATAAGATGAACTAGAATTATCAAGAGGCATTGATATAGATCAAAAGAGTTAACATAAATTGCCAGTTAATATTGTTATAGCTTAGCTATGTAAAATATTATCTAAACTGGTAGATTAATCTGATAAGTGAAAAGTGTTAATTTTAGTCGCCAGATAATTCACCTGCTTTTGGTGTGGAAAACAATACTGACATGATAGTTCTGTTAGGTTGAAAGATTTTGCATCTTTATTTAGAATTAACAGCATTTTTAATGAATTAACTATGATACCACGATTATTGTTTAAAATAAGCTTCCACGTGTTCATTTCTATAAGGTACTAACTTACCATCCATTTCAGTCTGAACTTCAAACCACCAAATAAATGGAAGAAGGAACGCGAACAAAATAGACCTAACATCTATTCTAAAGTGCTTATCTTTAAAATGCTATTACAGCATTCCCTGGATATTTTATCATTGTTTGATTGGAAATGACTAGTTGTATTGACAAAATATACAGAAATATACATACACACACATATATATATATATATATAAATATAAACATACATATATTTACATTACTACAAAACATCACACTAATCTGTTAAAACTCACCAACAAGGCACAATAAATACCGTTTAAATACATTAAATATATAAACATACATATATTTACATTACTACAAAACATCACACTAATCTGTTGAAATTCACCAACAAGGCACAATAAATACCGTTTAAATACATTAAATATATAAACATACATATATTTACATTACTACAAAACATCACACTAATCTGTTGAAATTCACCAACAAGGCACAATAAATACCGTTTAAATACATTAAATAGAAATATACATTTCAGCACAACGTTATCTAATATAATTATTTTACTTAACAGCGACTTTGTTATTAATACTCTTGTTGACCAAAATGAAGGGTTTGGATATAAGACAGCAGTGATTAAGTGAGCAATATACTAAACGTTTCTGTAAATAAAAGATGTATGACACACATTGCCTAGAGTTAACCTAAGAATAGAATAAAAAAAATATTTTCGTCCTTATTGAAATTTCCTAAGATACGAACGTAATTATTATCTCGCAAACGAAACGTTAGTTTCACTTTCACGTTTTCTGTGATTCACGTTGAAAAACTACCCTATGGTTTAGTGCTGACCTTTCCATGTGAAACGAAACGTTAGTTTCACTTCCACGTTTTCTGTGATTCACGTTGAAAAACTACCCTATGGTTTAGTGCTGACCTTTCCATGTGAAACGAAACGTTAGTTTCACTTCCACGTTTTCCTTGATTCACGTTGAAAAACTACCCTATGGTTTAGTGCTGACTTTTCCATGTGAAACGAAACGTTAGTTTCACTTCCACGTTTTCCTTGATTCACGTTGAAAAACTACCCTATGGTTTAGTGCTTACCTTTCCATGTGAAACGAAACGTTAGTTTCACTTCCACGTTTTCTGTGATTCACGTTGAAAAACTACACTATGGTTTAGAGCTGACCTGTCCATGTGAGTTTCATCTGTGAGAATACAATAATAAGAAAAATGTTGTCTTTACGCAGTTCTTTAGTTTCAATATGTCAAAAGAAAGATGTCAATTCATAAACAAATGTTATCCTTGTTTGATATCCTTGTTATCCTTGCTTGGCTATTAAGCTGGAGTTTTTCTTCCATGATTGCATGGGTTCAAAGCTCTGTAAATTAGTTGAATTTATAGTCATAGCTCTCAATTCCAAGAAAACAAGCTAGAGAAAAAGCTGTCTGTACTGAAGTCATGAAAACTATATCCGACTTCCGGTAGCGTTCAATAAAATAATTTGGTCAAAATATGAGCGATATTCAGATAATTATATCCACAAACGTACAATATTAACAATTACATACTTTCCGCAGAGTCTTGAGATACAAATGTTTGATTTCAAAAATGTATATATCAGTAGCTTATTCGCATGCTTATGAGATACCTGATTTTAGACAGTTCCATGCGAAATCTAATGTTTCTTTATTCGTCAAGATATTTATAAACAACAAATCAACGAATTCTTCAGTCACATTTCTCACTCCTGTATCTGATTTCAGATAGATTTATACTAAGTGCAGATATATTTATTTAATACATTTTCAAGCACGTGACTTTATGATATCAACTCGCAAACATTCCTTATACAGGGTGTATGATTGCAATAAAATCAATATTTAAGCTCAAGTTACTATATTATTACGAAAAAAAATTACACGAAACAATATATTACTAGAAACATCACCTTAGGTAGATTGGGTAATGATTATTTGATTATTTCCCCAACACATCTCTACAGAATTAGTCAAAAGAACGTGGCATATTTGTATACTTAATGATACCTGTTTGGAGTACAGAAGGAACGAATAATCTTTGAACGATATATTCTTGCACGTGAATTTTATTTCAGCTAATACAGAACAGTTTGTTTGTTTGAAGTTAAGCACAAAGCTACACAGTGGGCTATCTGTGCTCTGCCCAC